GAAGTACCATACTTATTTGAATCTATCCAAAAATTGGAATCTTTGAACCTCACTTTGCTTCTGCTATGTGCAACAAAATTACATACCGGCCCCGGGAAACGTACCGATCCCAGGAAGCATATCGACTTTGGTAACTTACCGCTCTCCGGAAACTTATCGACTTTGGTAACTTACCGCTCTTCGGAAACTTATCAATTCTGATAACTTACCGCTCTCCGGGAACTTATCGACTCTGGTAACTTACCTCCCTCCGGAAACTTATCGACTCTGGTCACTTATCGATTCTCGAAAACTTATCGACCTCAAGAAATTTAACTTACCCACTTTTGATCAGTTGTTTTTGTGTTACCCATTCTTACCGACAAAGACGGACACATAGAAGTTCTAACGTTAAACGGCAGTGTCGCTCTCTCATGTTGACATTTCTTGAGTTTCCTCATTTGTTACAGACGCTGTGTGAGAGTGTAACTGCATCGCGAATATCGTGAAAAATACAAAATTGTCTATAAACTTGACACGTGTAATACGGCAGTATTTGAACAAAAGATAACCTCCTAAAAGACAGTGAATAACTTTGTTAACATACCTCCAATGTTTTACCTGGAAGACAGAGATAAATATATAAGTACCGTGTACCGTCTAATATTGCGGAAAACTCATTAATTAAAAGATGTAAGTGGTTTTGTTTATAACGAAAGAATAACGAATGTCGCGTCTATTGTTGCTTTTTTATATGGAATTCTCCATAAATAAGACATTTGGTTTTTAACATGATTTGAAGATTTAACTTCTTAATACTTTAGAGCTTTTCCTATTTGTTTTCTGCAAATTGATAAAAAAATCAGATTTTCCTACTGAAACACCGGTTGCATTTAAAATTGTATCGAGAAACAAATGTCAAATCGGAATGAAGCCGTGTTAAGTAGGTATTACTGATAAAAGTTTCATCATCATCCATACCGTGCTGACAAAAAAAGTGTTAGATATCGGGCATTGGTGTGTGACGACTTTTTTTTGCAACTTAAACTGCTATAGTTAGCGACAAAATAACCTTTTAAAATAATAAATTATTATAATAATGCATGTGTTACATATATAACATTTATTTTGTCCGAAAGTTTAAATATTTCTAAATATATTAAATCTCTTTTAATTCACGATCAAACTCTAATTAATTTATAATAATGTTCTCGAAAGTGAGACAGAAGTACCATTTAGCGATATGTAACTTTGATTTTGTCCCAATTTGTGACGCATGTATGCCTGCATCGCTGACAAGTGACGGGCGTCAAGACAGTCCTATTACTGACAGGCGAAAAATCATTATTCGAATGTCACAAATTGATACGGAATTATGAACGTCGTTATTAGTGACATACAACATTTTATGAGCAGTTTATGGGCTAAGAACTCGTACTATCTGCTAAATTTTCGAGCGGTCAGTTACGATAGCGGGGCCGGGGGATGAGGGCGAAATAATCGACACACGAGGTCCTTCGCTCGCTCGTCATGATCTAACATGCACTTTATTATTGGCCAAGTATCCATATGACAAAAATAAAGGAGAATGCGTCTGCGGCGTTAAATACTCGCTCGTAACCAAGTCGACGGGTTAAACTTACTTAATCTCTCTAAAATCTTGCATTTAATTAATACGTGTATGTACAAGTGTGCGTGTGTGTGTGTGTATGCGTGAGTGTCTGTCCGCGTGTTAACACTGGAGTGCATCCGTGTCTGAGTGCGTGCTCGCGCAATAAACATGTGTGTCAGCTCGCGAGCGGACGCAGCCTCGGAGAATTGCGAGTGAACTAATGAGCAGCGAGAATTAAGTGATCGTTGACATTAAGACAATCGGTAGACGGTAGCGGCGGCTACTTGTCCCGTATCTAAAAGCGCACAGTGGAAGGAAACTTGCGTCCTAAATTCTTATCTCGATCCTTCGCTCTTAATGACTATCAAACCACCCATTCAGGCACGTTCCTGAAGGTACAAGCCGGGAGGAGACGCGACACTTTCTCGTCTCTCTCTCTCTCCCTCTCTCTTTTCCTTCCCTTCCCCCCTCTCTCCCCCGTTCTCCGTGTGTTCTTTAATCGCATTTCGCACGTGCATCTCCTTCAAAGTTTTCGCACGTGTCGCTCGCTCGGAATACTTTTACGTCGATTCTATCAAACGTGTTACTAAAATATAACAATCTCCGTTTCGCTACGCTAAAATAACGCGTCTCTCTTCCTCTCTCTCCTCCACCTCTCGTCACCTCATTTCCCCTCAGCTTCCTTCGTCCTCTTCGGCCTCCTCGTTCTCCTCCTTCACTCCCCCGCGCGCGAAAAATAAAACCGCGCGTCGGATCGATCTCGCGCGTCAGCCATCTCTCTCTCTCTCTCTCTCCTCTTCACGTCCGCGCGGTGTGTGTCTTTGTGTGTTATATTAAAATTCGCCCGTCTTGCCGCCTTCCGCCTTAAAATCCGTGTTTGTACAAGGCCGCCGTTGGAGGACCGGGCCGGCGATAGGAATTCAATTAATCGCGTATTTATCGGGCCGGCCGTACACGGGAATCATCGGGTGAGAATTGCCGCCGAGGAATAGAAATACTTACCGCTCGGCCGGCAATCTATCAATTGGCAAAACACGAACGAAAGGGCTTAATTCCGAACTTCGTTTACGCCGGCGAAACGTGTGTGCGCAAACTTTGGCCCGCCTCTCGTTGCCGGATAACTCGGGGGGGCCCTTCTCTCTTCCCCTCCTCCCCTTAACTCTTTTCTCTCTCTCTCTCTCTCTCTCTCTCACTCCGCCTCTCGTAACCGCTAGGAACATGCGCTTCCTGCAACCTTGGCCGGAAAGTTCGAGCGATAATTGGGTCGTATGAATAAAGCGAAGCGCGCGCGCGCGCGCGTACTACCCTCTTTGCTCTTATTTGCCGAAGGAAAACGTACCGGTCAAACGTGTGAATGAAATACGTTCGCGCTCGCTTCGTGTTCGCCCGGTGCAATTACTTGGAAAAATACGGATAAAGATATCCGAGCATTCGCGCGCGCGATATCGACGCTCAAATATGCGCTGCGGCGGATAAAAAGTCGAGGAAGGGTGCGGAAGGGGGGAAAAAGGCCGGCATGCCGGCAAGAAATATGAATAATAAAAAGCGCGGATTGTATATTGTAATTCGAGCCGTCGAAAACCGTCGAAATTCTATACTGAAATCGCGCGATACCGTCGGCTGGCCGGCGATACGTTAATAATATTGCGCGTAAATTTAGCGCACGCGCGCGCAGCGTGCGGCTAGATGATAATTAATTGCGTTTTCGGGCTTCGTACACGTTCGAAATACGGAAGTGCTCGTCCTTGGCTCAGGTTCTTCAATCAGTTCCCCCCCCCCCTCTCCTCGAAAGTCCGGCGTATGAACGAGCGAGATTCCCGAGTCGCGATTTCAAATTCTGTACCAATTTTAAGTCTACAAGTGGAGAACAAGACAGAAATAAATTCTCACAATAAGTGTTCCTTTGACGTTACAAAAGGAATTTAGTCCTCCGGGGTAGATCTTAGTTCTACATTAAGTCTTCGAGCGGAGAAAACGGCAACAACTTCCCCATTTGGATTTCGTAGCACCAAAGGAGCGCAATAGGGGATCTTCGAACGCTCTCGGGGTGTAGAATTTAAATTTGGACTTAAAGCGGGACTAAAATTTCGGATCTTCTCTCTCGGGTCGGATCGCTCTCTCTCTCTCTATCTCTCGCAGATGAATTCCCATCGCCGCTCGGCCTCCAAACGGCAAATGCCACGAGACAGGAGGATGCGGACGCGAAACGTCGATATTCGAAGAGTCGTTAGCGCTAATCCACTTCCTCCCCCGCTTCTCCCCCGTTTCCTGAAAAATACGACGGGCCGGAAGGATCTCTTATCGTTAAATTAACGCGCGCCTCTCTATATTACGGGAGAACGCTCGAACGTCGTGGCCGCGGCCGACGTCCGTCTCGTCCGATCCGTAGGGTACATATTTACAAAAATCTACAGGGCGAACGTGTCGACACGCTCGCGAGTAACGGGCAGTTCCAAGTTGCGGAACGTCGATGAGCCGGGCCGGGCCGAATGATGGACAGAATTTCCCATTTAACGCGGTAATTTCGCAGCCTCGAATGTTGACTCGTTAATCGTTAATTCATGGGTGAATTACGCGCTCAAGATTTAATTAATAATTGTATAGCAATTTATTATAGTTATACACAATAAAAATATATATATATATGTATATATATTTGTATAATGTTCAGAATATATATATATATATATATATATATATGTATATAACGGGTATATATATATATATATATAATATATATATATATATATATATATATATATATATATTTGCGATGTAACATCATTAGCGAACTCTCGCGGTCGTTAAAATGCGGTAATTAATAATATTACACCAGCGCTATGGGTGTTACAAGCGGCGTGCAAGGAGGTGTTCGACTCGTTTCGCGCACTTTGCGTGGTCGCCGTGAGCGGAGGAGGGGGAGAGGGCTACAAGGTATCGTATAATTCACCAGGGTACGAGCTCCGGCCCCGAGAAACGCTTTTATCGGTTATATATGCCCTCGTCGAAAGAAAGAGGGGTAGAGAGAGAGAGGGGGGGGGGAGAGAGAAACAGCTCTCTCCGCAGGCGTTACGTTGTCGGGGGATTTCTTTTTTTACTTACTTTTATCTTCCGCGACTACGTAGGGGTTGCGCGAAGAGTAGCAGGTTGTCGCACTCTCGACCCGACAGCTGCGACATCAATCGTATCCGAAATCGCGAGGTGTACACTTTAAAACACGCACGTGCGCAACGTAAAAATTGCTCTTTTTCTTCTCAATGTACATTTCTCAAAAATAAATTTCATTTTTTTTCATTCCCCCCCTCTCTGTCTCTCTCTCTCCCCGCCTCTCTCTCTCTTTGTGTAACGTTTTCAACCCTCTAATGGCGAGGTGGATCTCCAGAACGTCAAAGCGTTTTCCCCAAAGTGTTTTACTTGCAATTATTTAGTTAGCAAACGTTAATGTATTTTCTTACCTAGAAATAAACAGAAGAAGAAGTTTCATATATCATTATTCATTTATTATTTACCTCTTTCACCCGTCTTATACATTAGTTAGGTGAAAACTGAACAAAACGGAGCGGCGGGTCCGACCCCAAGCTTGCCACTAGAGGGTTAACTTGGAACAAAAGTCGAAACGAAAAATATAACGAGCGCTCACAGTGCTGCCATCGCCGACCCTATCCTACTCTCTCTCTTTCTCTCTCTCTCTCTATCTCTCTTTACCGTGAGATTGTTTTCGATAATCAGGCTAATTTTATTGCAGGGTCCGATTTACTGCCTGATTAACGCTGCCCAGCACTGTCCACCAATGACGTCCAGCCAGTGACCGTTCGCGCGAGGAGAAGCTCATCGGCGCGACCGCAACGCAATTAGAACCTCCTTGTCGTCTTTTGAAAAGCCTGACCGACTCGTCGTCGTATCTTTTTCTGTTTTTTTTTTCTTTTTGCGGCCCTCATGAAAAAATACTATATATTATACACGTATGTATTTTACGTACTACTCGATTGATCGATGTCATCTATACAACGGGCTTTGATCGTCAAAAATATCTTTAAAAGCGGACGCGACGGCGCGGTACCGCCGCCGCGCGTTCTCAGCGTTATTTACACAACGGAGCATTTTCTACGCATTATCAATATTAATGTTATTATTATTATTATTAATATATTTACACAAGAGAAAGAACAAAGCCACACGCGCCGTTCTACACATAAGTACCACCGCGTCCACTCTCGATTTCATCATTATCGTAAACGTCAGTGTAATCGTTACAATCATCGTCGTCATCGTTACAATCATCATCGTCGTCGTCGTCGTTATCGGCATCATCGTTATCATTCGCCGACGCGCGAATTTAATTGTGTCTTGAGAGTTTGTACTTCGCCATGCTACTAAGAGTACGAGTTGTTCGATCGACTCCCTACGGTAGTACGGTAGAGTCTAAATCTGCATAGTAATTTTATAGTACACATATCGTAGGTAATAATTCATCGGCCATCATATGGCCGCGACGCTACCATAGCACATTTCGGAAATTTCTCCGCGTAGGCTTCTAGGCTTAATTTGAGGAAGAAATGCAACAGGGCCCTCTTCTGCCGCCCCGCCCCGTCTTCGGGATTTCGATCGGCCCGAACGGTCGCATTGCCGGTCGGTCGGAAATTTCATCTCTCGGTTTCGCTAGGGCTCAGATACGATGAGAGGAATGAGGGTCGAGGAATTAAATATAGGGAATTAGGAACGAGATATGTGGAATAAGCTTAATATAGTTCAACATAATAAAAGAAATATACAGAGAACAAAGCGTGAGAATATCTTAAAACGGGACCAACCGGCTTTATTATTTCGGCTACGCTCCAAATATTCACTTCCAGCGCGGATAATCTATAGCATGGACGCGACATGAACTGCAGATTTTCAGCGCTCTGACAGTGAATTTCGGTAGCCAGCCTTTCGAACGAACCTCTACCGTCCTCATTAATACTTTCACCATTTTCTCGATAATCAACGGTCGACTCGAAGTGATTTTCATTTGCGTATTGACGATCGGTGAACATGTTGAAGGTCAAATTTCCATCAACTACTAAACCTTGCAAAGTTACAAGGGAAATCGAATATCAATAGTGTTCCTGATCCTAGTTCTCCCGCTTCTCTCATTTCTTTTATTTTGGATTGAAGCATAAGTTGCCCATGCGTCGACATTTATTTCCTCGCTCTTCACTCTCTTCGTTATATTTGAGCCCTGAAAGTGCTTCTTCCAGCTCGCGTTGCCGCAGCTATGCGCGCAATGTTGTCAAATAAGCGGCCGCAAGCTTTCCGCGGGGCCGATCGAAGGGCTTTCCCGGCGACGGGACTGACGGCTGAGAAACTACGATCGAAGCGCGTCGACGTTGTAAACTGTGTGTTACTTGTACTCCCCGCGCTGCTAACTCGGTCTTGTCTGTATTCTCGCGCGGGGGATAATCTCAAAAGTAACTGGCAAGCGCGCCGAGAATGGATGCCAGCAATTACGGGGCACACAAAGAGCGAACGTCGAGAGCCCGCGAGCTCGTTACGTTTCCCTCGCCTCGAACTATTCGAACAGCGCGTTTCGAACAATTCGGATTCCCCTTGTCTCCCGGCGCTCCATTCCTTTATGCGTGCGGTCGGGGTGCCGGCGCCGGATGGAACGAGCGTGGCGGTGCGCGTCGCGTCGCGAAAAATCATAACAGGGAAAAGGATGAAAGTAGACAACAAGAGAACAAGAAGTGAGAAAGAAGGCCTCTTAAAGCTAATTCGACTCGTCGCACCGGCGCTCGCACGTGGAAAAAAACTCGCGTCGTCGTGAACGATACACGCGTGCGCTCGCTTTCAATACGAACGAGCTCGAACGCTTCTCTCCTCCAATGAGAGAACATCCGGAAGTTTTCTCGTTGGACACCGGATCGGGCAGCGAGAACAAGAAGCGTTCGAACGGGGCGTGCGCAATCGACGGCCGGGGAGATCGCGAGATTCTTCGTCCCAACGAGTGGCGACGCATCCTCGTATCCAACGGGCGAATTTTGTCCGCATTCGGAGCTTACTTTTGTCGATGAAAGTGCCGCGAGAGTGCCTCGAAGTATAGTTTCTCCGCCAATCGGGCTTCCAAGCCACTCTCCCGAGAAGTGCTCACCGATAACGGCGTTCAATATATCGAGACCTTCGCTTTTTAATAAGTCTCGGAATATAAATTATCCTATTGTAACGCCGGATATTCCGAAGTCGAAAGTGGTTCAAAATGTCACGATCTTTCCGCCGTGCGCGCACGTATCGCGGTATCGCGAATCTCGCCTCGAGAGAGAAGCACCCAATCATTTTCTACCGACCGACCGAAATCGTCTGTGATCAGTTATTAACCGCGGCGCCTTGGCATCGATCACACCCTGCATCGATATTACCGTCTCTCCGAGCACGGTGTCCCTTTTTCTCACGGTGTCGGTAAACAAAGACGAAGGAAAAACGAGTCGTAACGAATTAATTAATCGCTCGAATTAACGAATCAATGTCTGGGGATAACGAATTAATGTTCGAGTTAACGAATCAATGCTCGAAAGTAACGAATTAATGCTCGCGCTAACGAACGTAACGTAACGAAACAAGCGAAACAGCTCGAGGAAGCGTGTCTTAGGATCTAAGTACATTCTCTCTCTCTTTCTTTCGCTCACACACACACACATACATACGCGCGCACGCGCACACACACGGGAGAAAATTAGTCTTAAATCGATGATAGATGTTCCCACGTATAAGCAAGAATATTACAATCTTCTTAGAATTCTCAGAAGATTCTTAGCTTTAATTCGACTGAATTTCTATATTGATACAAGTATTATATATATATACAAGTATATATATATATATATATAACAAGTATATAAATACAAGAATATCCATCACTGATTCAGGACTATTTTTTCCGTGCACACAACACACAGACACACACGCGCGCGCACATACACACACGTCGACCCTTCTTAGGCCCGAGCCTTGCGTCAAGTGGTTTAAGCTCTAATTTCAACGAATCGACATCGCTCGTGTCGGCCCGAGTCCGTCCCGATCGCTCTCGTCGACCTTTCACCGTCTCTCTTCGGGACAGGAGATATATATATATATAAGACCCTCTCTCTTTCTTCTCGGGTGTCATCGACGTTAAATTTTTTCCTCCGGCGATACTTCGAAACCTCGTTAAGCTGCAGCGAGAAAAGCCACCACGGTTTTCCCCGATTAGTTCGACGTTTTAATACACCTGGCCGAGCGGTAGCGCGCTTCGACGCTGCTTTCGCCCGGCTTGTTATTTAAATAATTGATTTTCTCGCGGGCGTTAATGGGATTAGTTGTTCGTCGCTCGTTATATCCGCGATATTCCAGGTCAGAAGTGTCGGGCCGCGTGTCGCCAAGTATGCAAATATCTGTTACATAAACGCGTCGCCGGGGTATCGATTGGAGCGAGGTAAAACGTCGCCTCGGCTACGCGACGAATCGCGAGCGAAACTCGTCGGAAACGCGCGCGGCTCTCTCCTCCGTACTCTCGTCCCTGACTCGAGCGTTAGTCTCCGTCTCGTTCTAATAAAGCTAACGTTGCCGATTATGCGCGTACCGCACGCGTATATCGCGTTAATGATAGTTAAAAATGGATTACCCGAACACGAAAATAGTATACTCTCTCTCTCTCTCTCTATCTTCTCTCTTTCTCTCTCCCTCTCTCTCTCTTTTTTTGTCATTATACGAACATCGAAACGTCACTACAATCAGGCCATTAACTTACGACTTAACACTTAAGCTGTATAAATTCGAAACCTACCGCTTTCGCGACGCGATCTGTCTCAACGAGACGCGCGCGTGCGCGCACACGTGTGTATGTATATCTGTGTGTATATATACATATACGTGTGTTCGTGTAGCCGAATATTAGACACACACACTATTGATACTCTATTTACAATATGTACAGCAAGTTAATTCTTATCGCGATCACTTCCTCGTTTAATGCCACTTGGTGTAATTATTGCATCGATCCAGCTTTCTCTTCTTCTCCCTCTCTCTATCTCTCTCTCGCTCGCTCTTTTTCTCCCCCTCCCTCCCTTCCTCACCACCTATCGCTCTCCTACGCGAAAACTGTAAGCGTAATTATAATTTAGAAATCGGAACGGTTAATCGGACCGCGTGGGTTTACGACGGGGGGGAGAAGTGTTAATTTTTTTTAAACAAGGCACAAGTATTGCCTGTTGCCGAGGTCGAAAGTTGCAGGCTACGAAGTTTGTCAATCTATGCTCTCCGACCATATGTACATACATACATACACATATATGTACCTCAAGAGTGTGGAAGATTAATATACATATTACACATATCCAATTCATAATGGTATGATGGCATACTTGGACTTTTCACACACTTTTAATCCCCTCTCGAACTGCCGAACATTCACATTACATTTCACATGGCGTGGCGTGAAGAGAAACATTCCGTCCGATCGCAACGTGTATGTACAAAAAGTACAAGAGGAGTAAAACGATGTTAAGTGTCAATCGGTGGAAAATCAGGACGTTTCGAAACTGTGGGGGTGAGTCTAATCATACCAATGCGTAACGCGCGATAAGCACGCTGTCCCTAAGCACTTCTGAGTAGGCGTCGTCTCGCGTATGAAGTAATGCTTGTGCCTTGTGGATCTTTTCGAACTCCTAGTGGACTTCGATCGCTCGCAATAAGCGACAGCATGAAAGGTGGGAGAAATGTGGCATCACCGTAGCACACACGCTCTCGTCGAGTAAGCTTCAAAATGCAAAAGCGCGATGCACATGTCGCCTACGCCTCTACAGCATAAGAGTTTCGAGACTCATCTTCCTCCGGAAGACGTTGAAGGGTTGTGTGCCCGCCGATTCGGCGGTTGTCACGTGAGAGATTTCGCAGAATTGTTGGCTGACCACGATTAAGTAATACCGGTTAACTTAATCGTCAGCTTAAGCTTTTCTCAGACAACTCCAGGCTTCGGACTCGTCAGGCATGTCGTGGGATCGTAGGTGCCGGCCAGGTAGTAGACATCCTTGTTCTCGTACACGGTTTGGTCCGGTTCCTTGCCCAGCCTCTTGATGTACTCGTCGAGCGACAGCACCTCGCACTTGTGGGAGATCGTCTGCACGTCGTTTTCGTCCAAGTGATTCGACTCGAACAGGCCACCCTGCGTAAAGGAATGATCGTTTGCGTTTACCCAAATTCGAACACAGGGATGGATGATGCGTCTCTCGAAAGTTTGAAGCGCATTTCGCCAAATTCGGATTAAATTAGTGGTTAACCGACGTGACTACCACTTGAAAAAAGTTCGTCCAACTAGTCGTTGAGTCATACTTCGATTTTTCATTAAAAGTTAACGTGACGGAGACTTTGGCTCGTATTTTGAAGTATCTCTCATCGATAAAAGTGCCTCTAAAAGTGGCTTAGGGATCACCAGACTGGCTGAGGAGCCACGTTTGATGTACTCTTAACGACGGAAAAGAGCTCAGAAAACAAGCCTTTTTGCCCATTTTAGCTGGAACTCGTAGTGACAGGTTTTTTTTCCCAACCCGCTAAATGAGATTAGGTCTTTATTAATCTTCAGCGAATTTTTACCCGGTTTATTTGCACGAGCTCAATTTTCTTCTCATTTTCAAATTACATGGCTCAGCAGCGAGACAAGACACTTTTTATTTTCGACAGAATCAAGGAACAGGTCCGAGGACCATTGCAGCTTGAAACAGCATGACTCAGTGACTGAGAGATTAATCGACTATAAAAAAAAAGAAAACATCAAAAATATAATTGATTCTCTCGCAAAAAGAGACATTAGACATTCGATTCAGCGATCGCACTTCGCTCTAATCTGGGACGTCGTTTTCACGTGAACAACAATTAAAATCCACATTTCTTTCATTTCGAAGTGTAAGTGCTTTCAATCATTTTTCAGACGCGCAATTCGAATCTCATTAGGTCATTACAATAATATCAACAAATCAAGTTAGTAAATAACGACCAAAAGCGGGTGAAGAGGCACACCATCAGATACAAAGAAAGAAAGAAAGATCGAGGTTCAGTTTCTTGAGAAAGATTTCGCTCTTACCGGGTACTTGAGATTCTCCGGGGAACCCTTCCTCTCCTCGGGATGATAGTACCACTTGACCTTGACGATCATGTTCGAGTTCGAGGTCTCCCACATGGACATGATCTGCCCGATGTAAGGTCTGTCGGCGCTGCTGGTCGACAAGAAGACCGCGCTGTCGCCGATCTCGATCGTCTCGTCGCTGCGCGCTATCCCGCGGTGAAATTGCTTCTTGAATCTGCCCTTCGCCCCGACCCGCCTGTACGGTCCGTCCGCCCAGCTCCAGATTTGCTTTTCCGGCAGGAAGGGGGCCATTTTGCTGCGGCTCTCTACGGATTTCTCGCGCAGCTTCGTCTGCCTCTTCACCCGCCTCTGCTTCTTCTTCTTCTCGTAGGCGGGTTCCCACGATTCCGAGGATTCCACGGTGGACACCGGCTCTTCGGACTCTACGTCCGGACTCGTCTGTTCCTCTGGCTCCACCTTCTGGGCCGGCTGTTCTTCGGTCTGGATCCTTTGAGACGGCTGTTCTTCGGATTCTTCCTCTTGGAGCGACTGTACGTCGGACTGCTCGTCCACTTCGAGGGACGAAGGTACCTCCTGGAGAGGCTGTTTCTCGGACTCTACCTCCGAGGATCGCTCTGTACTCAATTCTCGTCCCACGGACGATCGGTCTGTGTTGATCTGCTCCGAGGACGATCGGTCTGTGCTTATTCGCTCCGAGGACGATCGGTCGGTGCTTATTTGTTGCTCCGAGGACGACCGGTCTGTGCTTATTTGCCCCGAGGACGATCGGTCTGCGCTCATTTGCCCCGAGGACGATCGGTCTGTGCTTATTTGTCCCGAGGACGATCGGTCTGCGCTCATTTGCCCCGAGGACGATCGGTCTGCGCTCATTTGCCCCGAGGACGATCGGTCTGTGCTGCTCATTCGCCCCGAGGATGATCGATCCGTGTTCATTTGCCCCGAGGACGATCGGTCTGTACTGCTCATTCGCCCCGAGGATGATCGATCCGTGTTCATTTGCTCCGAGGACGACCGGTCTGAGCTCATTTTCTCCGAAGACGACCGGTCCGTGCTGATCTCCCCCGAGGACGATTTTTCTATATTCTGTTGCGTCGAGGACAACTCTCCCTCAATCTCCAGCGACGTTGTTTGTTCTTCGGTCATCTGCTCCTCGGTATCTTCGATCAATTGCTCCTCGATCTCCATATCACTGGACGACTGTCTGTACAACGACATCTCTGATGGCAGATGATCGAGACTGATCACCTGGGGCAAGACGCCACGCCCGTCGGGAGAGGTTCCCTCGTCGGAACAGTGTACGGTGCTCGATATCTCCTTGGAAACTTCCTCCTCGCTCTTTTGCTCAGCCGAACTACTCTCCCCGCTGCCGACAGAAAGTCGAGGTTGCGATTTGTGGCACGTACATTAGCAAAGTTACTTTCTCAAAGTAACTTGTTACGGTTATCGTATACGTTACTTAACAAGTCGTTACTTCTTCGTTACTCTTTTTACATGCTACTCGCTACTACCCCATGTACGTGTACATTACATGTGTGCCAAGTAACGATGAAAGTAACGATTATGTCTATTACCGTTATCTATACGACGTGCTTTCATTGTCGTTTACGTTATTAAGGTAAAGGAAAATAACGCCGCGTTATCAAGTCTATAAGAAGTCTACAATGTCTAAGGGTAGTAACTTCGGTCACGGTGTAAGACTTTATTTTCTGACCCTATGTGTAAATAGGAAGCTGTAAACCTTCAAATTTTAACATTTAGACCGCCCAGTTAATTTCGAGCGTAAAATTCACGGAGCCCAAAGTCGCAACAGGCGAAACTGTATACAGTATACAGTCGGAATACAAAGTAAACTACATACCCGATGAAAGAATAATGGTGTCTATTTCACCCGTTCTACGTATTTTACATCCCACATGTTATCTAATGCGAATACTTTTGAAACTTGAGATATAATAACAACCACAATTACGCACGACCGCTCTCAAGAAAATACCATGAAAAACACACGCAAGTTCGATTGCTTATAATATACATTTTTCCTTCCTTTTCACACTTGTACTTATTGCATACAAATGATATTTTGCTTTCATTCCCAATATCTCTATAAGCAGCCCGTAAAATTATTTACAGTTATTAAAGCCGTCATTCATACATGGTGACGGGGCAGTCTAAGTGTTAAGCAGTGTGTGTGTGTATGTGTGTGCTGCAAATTTACCGCCGACAAGATTTCGCTTAATGCGTGAAACCACACGAACCTCACGTAGCTCGCCTCGCTGTGGCTGCCGTGATGCTTGTGCTTGTGCTTCCGGTGTTTCCTGTGTCTGTGTTTGCGATGCTCCTCGGAGGATTTGTGCTTCCTGTGCTTCTTCTTGCCCTCCTCCAGCCTCTTGAGCTTCCTCTTCCTCTTCTTCGTGCGCTTCCGCTCGCGATACGCGTCCAACACATCCGCTTCGAGCTCGCTCGACTTTGGCGGCTCCGTCGGTTGTCGATCGGGGTAATAGGACGCGGGGAACGCCATGTCGCTCGAGAATGGCAGCCCGGCCTGGTCACCGGAGGCCGATCGTAGTTTCTCGCCCGACGACGATCTCTGACGCCGGCGTTTGCCCAACGTCAGCAGAGGATTCGGATCGTATTCTGCAAATAACAAGGACGACACGATGATGATTGATCGTCGCGCGACGGAATCGTTTGATTTCGTAGTGGCATGCGTCGGAAGGTACGTGCCTATGACGGGATAGCCGGGAGGCAACAGCCGGATATTGCTCAGGTCGATCCTACCGCTGTCACCGTCATCGAATTCTACGCTGACGTATTTGTCGTCATGGTCCGTGTTAGGCTCTATCGGCTCGACAGCGGTTCCCGGGTACAGGCATCTGTACTGCTCGCTCCAGTACGCGCACAATCTTGTGCCGGGTGTCAGTTCCTTCGTCGAGTTCGGGAACACCTCTAGGATCTGTGAGCAGACGCGATCCCGTGTAAAATAACGTAGTTTGCGCGGATAGATGCGCCCGTCTGATTCTCAGGTCGAATCAACGGTGGATTCCGCATTGCTCCGGAGAATCAAGACCTCGAAATTCAAAAAGTGGGGCAATTTTCGGACACAATTCGGCAATTCGAATACCGAGGTAGTCTCTCGAAACACAATATTTTCTCGAAATAATAACAATAATTATTATAATTAATAATAATAATAATAATAAATGTTGTTGTTATTGTTAGTTATTTTAATCGTTAATAATAATTATTATTGTAATTAGAACTAAATTATATAATTATTTTTATTTTTAATTATATAACGCGCAATTACGGTTACCATCATTACGGAGAACTGAACGAAAACTAACGTTAAGTTTATAAGAAGGCTCACTTAAGTACTTTTTATTTTTATGTGCTCATTACTTACGATTATGCGTGCTCTTAACTTTACTTTGCGTGTGGCATTACATGTAACTGCGCACATTTGCGTTCGAACCACATTGAACCAGCGGTACTAGTAGGTCGAATACACGACCGAAGCATTTGATTTTATATACATTTTCTGCGTCTTACTTGACATTGTAATATCCTTATACGTGGATCAAGTTTTATATACACACATTAAATCATATTCACACTTTCTTTCTTGCACTTGATTCTTACTGGTCGTCCTAATACTTTGATTAAATATCACCTGCGCTATATTCTCTAATTTATTTACAATTATTTTACTACTATTATTTACATTGTAGTAATTATTTCCTTTTTTTCTGTATCGCAATTGACTTTGGTATTGCATCTTTTTGGGAATCCCCCCACCTTAATATACGTCCGCCGTATCAACGTGGGAGTGGAATCAGACGGTCGCGCGCTAAATGCTAAAAGTGTGCAGTCGGTATGTTAAATCGGAGCGAGCCGAGTCGAGCGGAGCAAAGTTTTTACCGAATCCTTCAGAATCTGCTCGGTGGAGTAGAATTGCGGCTTGTTTCCGCGTTCACCGTCCAGAGTTATGGAGTAAACGTCGGGTGGCTGCACCGCTCTGAGCCTACCCGCGTAGAACAGACCGCCTCTCATCTGAAGAACGCGCAACTGGTCAGTGGCCAGATGCGTGGCCGTCAATTTACACGGATTCATCATCGTCGTGTCCTCCATATACGTCTGGCAGTCTATCGAGATGCATCGTTTTGATTTCTTCCTGTCATGACTGATCGATGAGGACGCGCTGGACTTTCGCCTCTTCTTCTTCGACCTCTCATGTCGGAGCTCCCTCTTCGACGGTGAATCTGCCGGCGCCTGTCGAGACGTACGCAAGGAATTTTATTCTTTGGGAAATATCATAATAACAACAGTCTATTCAAATTCCAAAATCGATTTCAACCAATTTTAATAATTAAATAATGACAATTATAGTCTTGAAGACTTGGAGAAAAGGCGTTTCTATGTTTTTCATTTTTCTGCGGATTCTTTTGATTTCATTTCCAAAAGTAGAGAACTTCGTTTTAAAATAATTATTATATAATATTATTATATATTATACTTTATATGTTTGTCCACAATATGTTCGTTGCAATGAAGGTAATATTTTATTACTTAACATGTAATATATTAACTTCCCACAGATAGTTCTTCAATAATACATCAGTAATTTTGTCCGTACTCTTGTAGTCTTTTTTTTTTCGTAAGAGTTCATTTAACTTCAATTAAATGCACGCAATTATCTGTTTTACAGAAAGAAATAAACGTGGTTTTAACCGAACACACATGTGAATTTCTCTAAATGAATTTTGTTATCCTTAGAAAAAAATCCGTAAAAAAATAGAAGAAACCTGGGAGCGGAAAGAATTAAAACTATTATAATAATAATCAAATAATCAATGTTATTATTATTATAAGTCTTTCGTTAATTTCGTTGATTCGATTGATAGGACCGCTTTAAAATATCACGAAAACAGTACAATGAATTAGTTACCTTGACGGTCCTCTCAGCGACAGAATTTTTGGGCAACATTGTATCGGTCTCATCGTCCTCCCATTTCTTCAGCATCGCCTCCGCTCTGAGCTTCGGCTTGACCTTGCCGCTGTTCTTCTCGAGCTTGACCTCTTGGCTCAGCTTCGCCTTCTCCGCGATGATCGAACTGATGACATTCTTGTTGTGCAAAGGGGTCTGCTTAGCCGGCTTCGTCGCTTGCCTCGTTCGCGTTTTCGCGATTTTCTGCGCCTTGGATTGCGACTTCAGGGGCAACACCCCCGACTTGAACGGCAACGGTGTATAGCCGGTTTTGCTTATGTACTGCTGCAAGCGTAATCGATCACGTGAGATTCTGCCGAGTAACACGTGGAACGTGTCAAGCGTGTGATGCGTTAAAGTTCAAAACCGCTCGAGAGAGAGAGAGAGAAGGCGCGACTGACCTTGGTTTGTAGATGCCTGTTTTTCGACGACAACACGTAACCCACCAGGGAGCTCTTGCTCTTGGGCTTCTTCGCGACGATCGTCTCCGTTAAGTGTCTATTGTTGCCCGAGGTGCACATAAACTTCTTCGGCCGACCCACCTTCCTCTTCTTGGATGCGGAACTCGAGCTCGCGATGGTAGGCGCCGGCGATGACGTCTCGTAACCCAACTAACGAACAATAAACACCATACCGAAAAATAGGACAGGCAGTAAGAAAGTCGATAAACAACGCATTATCTCGCTCGTTCTCGCTCGGATCTGTTTACATCGTGTTACATTTTTTTTTATGTATCGCGCATGCCCACATGTTTTTGTCATGAGCGCGTTTTTATTGTTCGAGGAAGAACGAACTTCCCTGCATGAGACCGCATACGAAGAACCGACGTGGCACAACCTACGTACCCTTCCCACGATCTTCTCGTCGTCCTCGGGCTTGCCGGACGGCAGGACCGTGATCGGTGACGTCACCGGCGGCACCGGTATCGGGATGCTGGGTATACTGTCCAAAAGTTTGATGTGGCTTCTCGGCTCGCCGAGCTTCACGAGGTTCACGTTGCACATCGGCATGGCCAGCACGGCCGAGGCTAAGGGCGGGGGCGCGCCGTTCGGCGAGCCTGGTGGCCTCGGCGGGGACTTTTGCGGAGAGCTGATCACGTCCAGCGCGGGCGGCGATGATAGTGCACCGTGTTCGGAACTGAAAGCACCGATGATCGAGCGTTAGGAAGCGGATTTCTTACGTTCGATGATGACAATAATTATTATTATTATTTGCTTTTTATGGTGCGCTACTGACCAAACAGGCAAGATGCAACGAAAATAATTAAACGATAACTGAGATACGAAGATTGCAAAATTAACGAAGAAAGGATTGAATTAAAGATAATAAAAAAAAAAAAAAGGGAAAAAAAGTGAAAGTCGACAGCAAGAGGCGAGGTTGTAGCAAAATACTGTTATAAAACCCAATTTGAAGTATTCAATAAAAAACAATAGACATGTAATTATCAATATTATTAGAAGAATTATATTTATATAGGCTCTATTGATGATTCTACCATATATAGAAATAGAACGGACGCGCCGAATCGCAGTCGTTTTAGTGATGTTATTAAATTATATTGTGGGAAGGTATATCCAAAAGGCCCGTTCCATTTCTACATATGATTTGAATCACCAACAGAGCCAATAAAATACAGTTCTTTTCTAATAATATTGTTAATTATGTATTATTTTTTATCGAACGCTTCAAATTAAGTTTTATAACAGCACTTTACCGTAACCTCGCCTCTTGCGTGGCGTTTCTATTTTTCTGTCTCTTCTTTATTTTCCCCGTTATCAATTTATTTCACCGTTAATTTTGTACAACATATATATCCTCCCACAATAACTTACATTACGTCGCTAAAGCAACCGTGATTTAGCTCTCAAAGTCCGTTCTATATTTCAACAATGATTATTATCATTATTCTCATTATACTCAATTCGGGTTTAGTTCGGTTCACACTCACCTGGAGGAGTGGCTCTTCTTCCGCGGTCTGCCAGGATTCTTCTTGTCTTCTTTCCTGGGGATCAGCTTGGAGAGCTCCTTCTGCGTCTCCCTGTACTGCCTCTGGATATTGGCCATCCTCACCCTCATGTCCAGCTCCATGGCGTTCATGTGCGGCCAGTCGTTGTCGTTGTCGTGACTGTCCTTCTTGCCGGCGAACTTCTTCGCACGTGTATTCTTCTGGTCTCTCTCCTCGACGGACGCCTGCCTCTTGCACTCCACTTCGTTGTTACCGCTCGGCTGCTCGGGAAGACTGTTCACCTCGAACACCTCGTCGTCCGATTTACTGCCTTCCTGGACGTTCTTCTCGTAACACGCGTCGTATCTTCGCGACTCATCGCTGGAGATGACTTGCAGACCTTTCACGGGCTCGAGTTTGTTAGCGTAACGATTTTCAACGTTCCTCCGGAAAGACCGGCCTCCCACAGCTTCTTGTTGTTGTTCTTCTTCCTCCTCCTCCTCCTCCTCGACGTCGTTGTCGGTGTTTTCCGCTGAGAAGTCGTCGACGGTGCTCTCCTTCAGTTTCAGAAGAGCCTCTTCCTGCAGCCTGCCGGCCGCTCCGATCGTCCTGTTCTTCGCATCACCCTGCTCGTAATAACCCGGCGACGCTCTCTTGCCAGCCCGGCCATCCTCCTCTTCCTCTTCCTCCTCCTCCTCGCGATCGTCGAGCTTGAATCGTTTCGAATGGTGATCGTCGGCCTCAGGGTACTTCCTCTTGCCGTCTTTCTCGAGCGACCTGCCTAAATTCAGCAGCAACCTGCCGGCGTGCGAGATCTCCTCCGAGCTCTCCAAGCTCAGCTTCTCGGACACATCGTCGCTCACCTCCTCCATATTCTGCAACTTCTGCTCGGCGAGCTCGCAGAGCAGCACGAGGGGGTTGCTGACCTTGTTGTTATTGTTCTCGTTCTGCGGGCCCAGCAGCTCGTCCGCGTCCGGATGCTTCAACTGACCGATTCCCTGCTCCAACTGCTCGATGCTGTTGGACAACAACTCGAGGCCGCTCACGTCGACGGTCGGCTTTTGCTCGCTCACCCTGCACCTGGCCTCCGTAGGCGCGTCCTCGGCGACCTGGTCGGCGGCTTTGCGAGTCGCGTGAAGCTCGTCGAGCGGCATCTCACAGCTCCAGATGGTCTTCGGCTTGATATGGCCGGTAATGTCGAAGAGGGTCTTCTCGCTCTTCACGAACAGTTTCTTGTCGACGATCGCCTTGATGTTGTTATTGTTGCTCCTGCTGTCGTTGTTGTTGTCGCTGAGCAGGCACTCGGACTTGGACGAGTCGCACTTGCCGCCGGCCAACGAGCGGCTGTCCACGTGATCCTCCACGTGGGGCGAGTACCGTCCCGAGCGGGTCTGCGGGTCCGACGATATTTGCGAGGAGGAGACCTCGGCGTCGACGGCCTCCAAGGAGCTCGCGCAGGATCGCAGGATATGCAGCTTTTTCGGGATCGTCTCGGAATGCCTCCTCGACCTCACGCTCTCCGGCGATCTCTCCGCGGACTCGTCGACCTTCTGCGCCGGCGGCGCGGCCTCCTGCAGAGCCGCCGCGTTCTTCTTCAGCTTCTCCACCACGTTCTCGATGCCCGGATGAGACTTCTCCAGCGGGTGCCGCTTGCCCGGCTCCTGCGGCCGGAGCCTCTCGCTGGTGGACGTCGGCTCGCACTGGGACTCGTAGCAGACCTCCTCGTAGCAACTGTCGTCGGCCTCCTGCTTGATCACCACCTGCTGCACCTCCTGCTCGTCGCAGTCGATGTTGGGCATGTCGAAGGACTTGACCGTGATGTGAGGCCGAGCCTCGCCTATCGAGGAGGCGCTCCACTTCTTGCTGTCGCAGCTCTCGCAATTGGCGGCCGACGACTCCGTCGAGTCGACGCTCGGCTTCTGCTCGTCGAAGAGCCGCGGCTCCGGCGCCCGGACACCCGGCTGACGGGGCTGGGCCTCGATGCTCGCCGGAATGTCGTTGCTCCTCCTCGACTCGATCTGAAAGGCAACGCGCGTGACCCACGAAATTCGACGTAACTGTCGCGCCTGAGAAGCGCCTCTCTGTTCTTCGAGTTGTCGCGAGAGATATCTTTTTTTCATCTTTTCACGCACACTCGACCTCTTCCTCCTCTACGTCGACTCCAGATACCCGAGGAATGCAACTACCCCAATAAGCGAGAAATATCAGTATTGGGAAACATAGATTTTACGTGAAATTTATAAGCGTTTTGATATATTTCATAAATGTTTTTGAACCGTTACTTGATGATATAATATTTCGAAATATTAAGATAATAGTGCAGATATATTATTTTTAACGTTTGGGTCAAATATTGTTAACAATGACGTTGTATGACAATATTAAGAACTACGTATTTGAAAACGTTATATATTATAAAATATCACTTGAATAACATTGTGTCGATATTGTATATTGATAACATTGTGTGATAATTTCTTGCTTACTGGCTACCGGCCTTCTTTGAAAGCTAATGTCTAGTCAGCACGAGCTACACTAACTTTTTTTATTATCTCGTTATTATCTCGGTACTGACTGATGATTCACTGAAGTGTCGAATCGCATAGTTTTGTGATCTGGCCGTATATATCAAATACGATAGAATAGATGACGTGTCTATCCTAAAATATGTGATAATATATATCATACGGCCAGTAACATTTTGAAATTGAACAGAAATTTAAAATAGGTGTTAGGTTATGTAAAAAAAAAAGTCATAGATGTAGACACTCATACATGTAGACTGAGCGCTTCCACAAGACTGTATGCCGTGACTACATAGTAAGAAATATTTTGTACTTGTGTAAAAATCGATTCTTGCCAAAACTTTGAGTTAAATTTTTAACATACCCGTTAATTTAACATATTGTGTGTATATTACATCAATATTTTGTTGAGTCTCAATATTCATATGTAAATGCGTAAGTGTCAAAATAACACATTTTATATTTCGATTAATATATTTTGTATTAATTTTTGACATAATATTTGTGTTACTTTTCGTTAACATATCCGCCTTTTGTTAACAATTGACACAAAAATTTGTATGAATCATCTGAGACACGTGAAAGTGTTAAATTTAACACCAAATTTCTTTGCTGTGCAGAGAGAGGAATGACGTGTGTCGCAGGCGATCCACTTTTGTTTAGCTACATTCCTAAACCCCCACTTTTCTTTACGTGCGACGAGGATAGCATGTCGGTAGACAAGGGAATATAGATAGAAGCAATCCTTCAGTCTTGCTTCACGAGTTATCGTAATCCGGTAAGCAAGAAATCATTAACACAACGTTATTACAATGATATCCCACAATGACGCTTTCAGATATATATTTCTTAATGTTATACACAATGTCATTGTTAACAATATTTGACCCAAACAATGAAACCCAAACGAATGAAAAATAATATTTCCAGACTATGATTTTGATATTTGGAAATATTGTATTATATTATCAAGTAATAGTTTAAAAATATTCATAAAATATTGTGTCAACATGTTTATGAGAAATAAAATATGAAATCAACAAATTCAACTAAACGATAATTAATCGAAGTGAATGAAGCGAAGTGTAAAATCCACATAAAATCAATATTTCAAAAGATCGATTCAATGTTTCTAGTTTTCTTAGGAAAAACAGCACAGTCTATGTATATATACAACAAATATGTTATTTCTCTCGCTTAGCCGTTGGCTAACTTATTTATGCAGCTACTGAGAGAAGCGAGCGTTGCATCATCGGCCAATAGCGGCACAAACGTGCTACCTTGCGGCCAAGTGGCCGCGATATTATTTATTTTCCACTTAATCAGATCGTCACCTCTGTTTTGTTGTCCTGAACGTCTTTCCCAACGTTCTCGTCGTCCTTCGACGAGTAACTGTCCCGGCGGTCGCGTTGCCCCGCGCTGACGTCTCTCCTCCTGGCGAAGAACTCGAGGTTCTCGTGGAAGCTATCACAGTTCTCCTCGGTGATCTCGATGATCCGGGCGCCGCTCCTTTCCCTGCAGACTGCCTTCTCCTCTTTGCCGGCCTCTTCGTCGGCGGTCCTGTCGATCGCCTTGAGGCTCCTGCACTCCTTCGCCGACGAGTACTTCGCGCAGTCGGCCATGTTGATGATCGTGTTCTCCGCCTTGTCGACCTTGGTGACGATGCCGCAGATCGGGTTCACCGTCGTCGTGGTCGTCGTGATCCTCACCACGTTGCAGATCCTCTCGGGCGACGCGACGATCTCGAAGTTCGCGGTGGTCATGTTCGTGCCCGGCTGCGCGACCTGGCAAGGACTCAGGCTCTGCTCCTGCTTCACGAGCGGGGCCAGCTCTTCGGTGTCCTCGGGCGTGTCGGTCTGATTCGAGGCGTCCTGCACCCCGTACAACGGCGGCTCGATCGCGTGAATCGTCGGCACTTCCGGCGGAGGAGTCAGACACGAGACCGGCGACGTTGCCTTCGAAAGAAAAGAGAGATAAAGACATTTCGTTGCACGCCTCGGCATTTCCCGGGTCGCCTCCCATCGCCACCAGAGTCCCCTACTAGATTTTCGAGGGCTTCCGCGACGCTTCGTTTGCTTATTCGTTTATTCCCAGATAGACGGAAACGCTGAACACGATGTGCCGCCAATTTAACGTGCGCTTCGCGGGGTCGTCGCACGACGTGTACTTAAAATGCGCTTGTTTTAAGAAATACTCATTTAGTGCGCCACAATCGAAATCTTGACTTCTATTACTACGATAATCCCGGATCAACTGCGTTCGCTTTCGGGCGAAATAAACAGCAATATCCGCGGTATCGCCGTAATTTTCATCAGATCATCATCTTTCCTTTTTGCACAATAACACAACGCCCGTCGCACGCATTTTAACGCGTTTGTGCGACATGCCGAAACATACTTCTATCCGGCTTTATTCACTTCAACCGAAAGTATATTAAGCACGCAGTGAACGGAGAGATTTTTCTCTTTCGCCTCTTTCGCGGTCTTTCGATCTTTTCCATAAACGCGAGATCCGCTGCACTCTTCGCGAACGCCGAACGGCGGATACACGCGGATACGCGTGAGAAAAATACGTGAAAAGAGAAAGAGATCCGCGAAGGAGAAGGTAAGGCGGAGGAGGGAGGGAGAGAGAGAGAGGGGGGACACAGAGTGTAGTGGTAATTACGTCAAGCTCCGGGCGCGGTCCGGCCATTCGCATAATGTGGAAACGTTGTGGCACATTGTATTAATCATGAGCAAACCCGATTTGCATCGCTATCTGCATAGATATTGCGCGCCGGGCGGCCGCGTAATATTCGCGTCCGTGGTGCGTACGTTGGCCGTCCGTTCTCGAAGGATTCGAAAGGATGCAGCCGTACCTGCGACCTGCAGTGCGTAGGCTCGGGCGGATTGATCTGCACGAGGGCGGGCGCGTGCGGGTAATAGTGCAGGGTGGTCACCAAGGGCGCCTCCGGTACCAAAGCACCCGTCACGGAGGTCACGGCCTGTAGCGCCTTCGTCGATTCCGTGGACGCTGCGGACAATCAGGGGACGATCCTGTGGTTTAGCGCGACAGACACATTCGCGGGATTCCCGCCGGCCTCGGGAAGCAACGCGTTGCTTGGAACGCCGTTCGTTCGAGCCACCCTCTTTTTTTCCGAGCGACGACGAAAAGACGGCGATACTTCAATCGTGTATTACATTCTTTCTCGTTGACGACGAGAACGTGTGTTATACGGATAACGGTGATGAATATAATCGTTACTTTCGACGTTATCTCATGAATGTGGAGTGTGCGAACGCGGGAAAGTCGCGAGGTGATCGTCGAAATTGTGGCCGGTGAGGACGATGAGAGATCTGAACGGCTCGTTACTTCTTCCGAGCAAGGTAACGGGCTATTTTAAAAAAGGTACACAGTAATTAATCTCGCGTTAACGCTGCAACGCGACAATTCAAGCGCGACAATCGCGCTCCTCTTCCCGAATTTTCCCGAGGCGGACGTGAATTTCTACTCACTGCTGATTATGGTGGTTGGACTGCTGCTGCAATCCGCTTCGATTTTGACGATCGGCAGCGCGCTCGGTGGCTTCCTCTTGTTCTCGGCGAGCACCAGCCTCGCACCACCGATGTCGCCGAGTACTTGGATCGAGGGCGGAGGCGGGGGCAGCAAGAGCGGCGGTGGCGCAACGTTGCCGCCGTGGCTCGCGTAATTCGGCCACACCACTGCTTGCTGCATTTGTTCTGCCGGGTGTAAAATTGATCTTCGTCGAGAAAAGCTTCGCATTTCAGCCGGTAATTAGGCTAATAACTATAATAGTCACTAATGGCCGCCCGAAGCTTATCTCCCAAGTGAGACACTTGAATTTGAATTTAGAGTTAGATCCGAGTTTTCCAGTCGAGTTGCGAAATTAGATAAAAAGATAATTCGATAAAAAGATAACGTTACATGTACCACACGCGATTCAACGGCTGAAAAATTCAGGACCTGATTCTAAATTCAAATCCGAGTATCTCGGCAATGAGACTTCACGTAACGACCATTAATATGAGCCTAACTAGCTGAGGTGAGGCTGACATTACCCGCAGCATGAATCAGAAGGAGATGACCGCTGGCCGGATCACGAACAAGCTGTAAGCCACCCTGAAGACCGACTCCCATCTGCGGGAAGTTTAGCGGCTCCGTTGGCATAGCTGGAAAAGTCCCGGCTCATTTCGTTATCTCCCATCCAACGACACGTTAATGTCGATTTTATATCTTGCGATATAATTGATTTATAAGCACTTTCCGATTAATTGTATACTAGAAGAACTCGTGAGTAATCAAGGGTCTCAATACCAAAGTGAGACATATTTAAAAGTCTATATAGAAATCCTTTTATGTTTTAATCAATGATACAGTAACCCTAAGTAGAAATTGAACGTCGTGAGTGTCTTCTAAACGAAGTAGAAAATTTGTGTCTAACGTCGCTGTCAGCCGGTAACATAACGCTCGTTTTATCTAGTGGTTAAATAAATAAGTTAGATGATGGTTAAATAAAAGAAGAAATTACAATTACGAGATGAAAAGTCACATAACTATTTTTCAGATAATAATGTAACGCTCGCTTCTGTTTCTTTCTTTTTTCAAATTTTTATGGAACCCTCAATTTTATTTTTCCGTCTTGTTTCTAAATGTCACTGGCGCTTATATAGGAGCTAGATTATATATTTTAGAATAAACAACGTCATGTGCTCCATCAATTTGATATGTAATAGCTAGACAACGGCTACATCACCGTACCGGCTCCACATTTCAGTGAAGAACAAATAATGAGCTATAAAATTTAATACAGCCTATATTAGTTACACAAAGGAAATTTGGATTTAATAATATTCCTTCTATTGAAACAAATTTGTCTTTCGAAACAGAGCGAACAAGCGAATATCTAATTCAACAAAAAGGACTGTTTAGTCAAACAATCAATATCTTTACGTCAAATAATATGTTTTTTTAATATTATTATCCGAATATTACAATAGTTGCCACGGGCAATAAATTATTTGAAAGAAGTAAGTAACGCTATGTTAGAAGAATATTAAAGAACTTCCGTGTGTTTCGGCGGGACAATATTTAACATGTAACAAAATGAATTTTTGTTTATTGAGAACGAAATATTATTTCCTCTATTAATATTGTTTTCTCTCTGATAATATTCCTCTATTAATATTATCCTCTCTAATATTAATCCCCCTGACAATACTATTTTTTTCCATCAAACAACGTGGTGGTTTACATGTTGCCTGAAACTGCAGTGAAACATTTTCGCTCAAACAAAATGATATTTGATATTAAATTATGTCGTTTGTCAATTTGAGACAAACCGAGTCAAACAAACGAGTATACTAAATCCTAAGAAACCATTTTCTCGGTGCAGCCGCTAACTTTTGACTCGGGCCGACCAGATATCTACTCGAGAAATTGAACACCTTACCCGCACGCTGAGAAAATGCCGTTTGTGTGCCGCACAGAGCAGAAGCTCAAGTAGAAGCTGATACAAGAATAAGAGTCTCGTGAATACTTGATTACTCATGGTTACCCCTGATACATCGTTGATCGCGCGGCGAGACGTGCACTCCCCGGCGTGTTGAATCGCGCGCGCCGATCTAAACTCTAAATCCGTGTTTTTTTTTTTTTTTTTTTTTTTTTAAAAAAANGCGGTGGAATACGAAAGGCCAAAGGACATTCGGACAATTAGATGGTCTTTCAGCCGCTTTTATTGTTTAGAGCATTGCTCGCGCGCGCTCTGTATAACGCTTCGCCTAGAATAATAAAAAGATCGCCACGTGCGAGTTACTACGCCAATTAAATATGCAAGGAGCGTGAAAAATTGGTGTTTCGCGCGAGCACACCGCTGCTCGTCTTTATTCCGAACGCCTGTCAAGCGACGAATTAAATACGGGCTATGCGTGAATGATTTACACGTGGCGAAAATACGCGCGAGCGAACGGACGGACGGACGGACGGACGTGCAGAGCGCCGGCGATGTAGTTCAGCGTTATTCGGATAAATGTCACTCGGTCAGCGAGGCCGGAGAGAGGTCAGCGAGGGGCGAATTCGATCCGAAATTGTATAGGGTCGCTCGTTAGCGGCCCGATTAATCCCCCACGCCGATAAAACTGTGATACGCGTCACGAGGCGTTAATTTATTCGGACTTTTGTCCGGCGAGATGCGATTCTCGCCGAACCGGCCGAAAATTTAGCATAATGTGCGGAGTCGCGCGTAGAAAATTTCACGCGAACGTGCACCGAAAAAAGAATTTGGCGACAATCATCAAGATTTCGTTGGTTTTTGGTTAGATCCGAATTGTTCGGTCACTCGACCAAATCATTCAAGTATACGGTGTATAATATTTAGTATTACAGTACAGTACGCAGAGGAAAGGGATCTTTTACGGATTTAATGAAATTTCCTGAATTAAAACAAATTTATCTTTTGGAATAGTAGTAAACAAAAAAAAAGCGTTTAATTCAACAAGCAGGATCGTCACGTTTCCTAAATAATATCTTCACGTCAAATAACATATTTCTTTTGTATTTTCATCCAAAGATCGTAATCTCAACACTTTGTGTTGCGTCGACATTCAACATGTGTGTAGCTGTTAAAATGACACATTTTATGCTTCAAATATCGATTAACGTATTAATTTCCTGCAAATTTTTTATACTAATATTACTTTTCAACATATTCGCCTCGTGTCAAATTAACACTAAAATTTGAGTAGACCGTTTGGGACATGTGAAGTGCGTTTAACAGCAAATCTTTGACTGTGCGGTACTAAATGATTCGGTTGCAGTAACCGAAGCGACTCAGCCGAAACTAGTCAAATCCCGGTAAACGTTACCAAATCCTTTTTTCACCGCGTCACGCGCACGACGCGGTCCGGTTTTCATTCGCTCGTCTCGCCCGGAAGTTATCGTCGAATGTTACCTCCTGACAAGCGACTAATCTCCGAGCGTTAACACGAAATAATCGCCGATCGGCGGCAATCGCGAGTCTTACGCGCGTTTTATCGCGATTCGGCGGGTGAATCTTTCCCTCGCGGACGGATTTGTATGATTTACGTCGCTATTGTTGCTCCGACTCTCGCAAATCGACGCGGAACGCTCGATAATACCCGCGATGTCTTGGCGAAATTTCGAGCCGCGCGCTGTTGTGGAAATAGGCGAGCACCGCCGGTTGCTCCGCAAGAGCGTTTAAATAAACGAGGAACGCTCTTTGGTACACGTATATCGCGCCTTTGATATCCGACGAAATAATTGAGCTGTCGGTCACATTGCGCGCGGCGACCGAGAGAATGCGCGAATACGCGTCAGCGTTCCTAGGGTCAAAGGCCGATTGTTTATTTAATAGTTCGACAGGGCGCGCGTGAAACGCACGGTGGCAGCGAATCGCCGTAACGAGAGACACAAAGACGTTTCGGCCCCGGCGATAAAATAATATCGGCGATGGACTCGAGAATATTATTGCACGACTTGGAGCACATTATCGGGAGACGAGCGGGAGAAAATCCTCAAGTTCCCGAATGTTTCGCCACTCCGCCGAGCCAGAGCGCCGAAAGTCCCGGAAAAGTTTCGCGGAGGCTGCTTCGAAATTTTGCCAATGGGCGTGGACAACCGTGTTGTCAGTATAGCGATAAGAGAGAGAGAGAGAGAGAAAGAGAGAGAGGGATAATCATTTTTTGCCCAACGAACTTCGCATTATATTGAGAAGAAAGTACTTGCCGGATGTAAGGTTTATTTTACAGAAATAAGATTTATTTCTATAAAATAAACTTCATACCTCATAAATAAATGTTTCAGTACTTTTTTTTTTTTCAGCGTAGTATCCAATAGGAGAATTTATTTTTTGAGAATATTTTTGAATGATTATTAAAAAATGTTTTTCTCCGGACGAAATCTTGGTAATTGTTAGAAAATCCTTCTTTCAGTATGTTGTGTATACTGACTGGCGCAACAACATTTCCTATGTCTGAGATAGTTGGAATTTTTCTATCTCTTCGGAGAGAATTTCGTAGTGAAATTAACGATAGAATGTCGTGAACGAGCAACATATCGATGTTTTGCCTTAATTTATTACTTTAACATTCTTCCATCTCGTACACATATTGTGCTATTTATATTTTGGCAACTGAAGTCTACTGTTAGAAAGTTTACTACATATGGTTTACTATGCAAGATTATCTCTACTGAGAGTCTATTGATATGTTACAAACAAAAAAATGACAAAATTCATCGCAATTTACACAAGAGAAAGCTGTAACATCGCGAGTATTTTGTCCACATATTCATGCATAGCAGATTATCGAGTAAACAACAACGACATTTCATATATTATTCAAAAGTGGCATTTGCATGATGTAAAAAGTAAAATTACACACAAAAGATGTAATATGCGTGATATCGTTGCTGTGTGACTCGGAATGATCAACATCATTATGCGCGAATATATGAGCACATACGTGCACGTGTCGAAAAATTCCGAGCCTGAGCATAGAAAATGATAAGTAGTGGGCGCACTCGAGACTTCCGAAAGACAGTCGGGACTTTCGGAAGGCGGCCTCGCTTTCGAACACAGTACTCGAGACGTCAGCGGGATCGAATCGATCGAAGAACTTGGACACTCGAGAGTGTCCATCGTCGTAAAGACAGGATCATCTTTGCCTCAGCAGAATGGCTGACTTATCGCTCCGAGATAATGTTTAATGCCTTAAGTCCTTGTCTTTAAGCAACGCATAGTGACTTGTGTCTTAAACTGAGAAGCCGTTCTGTTTGTGATTCACGACAAACCGTTAATCGTGTGATAAAGAAAGTAAACAAACGATGATTTAGATTAAGATTCAGGACGTAAAACATTGCCTTGAAATTACAAGTCAACCATTCTGCTTCCCTCCCCCCCCCCTTCTTTATCTTTAAGCAGCGCACAATGACTGTCCTCTGTCTTAAATTGTGCCTAAAAAGCAGTTTTGTTCGCGATCGACGACAAACCATTGTACAATGAAGAAAGCAAACAGACGACAATTTAGATTAGGATTCAGGGCGTAAAACCTCGCCTCGAGATTATAAGCCAATCATCCGGCTCCTTTCTCCCCCCCCCCCCCCNTTTCCCCCCCCCCCCCCTCTCGCTCTATTTTCGCGGTTTCGCGCGGTTACTCTTACGACGGTAGTCGCGGCGACGTTCCGCGCCGAGCTACCCACCTGCGGCGGCCGTAGCCGGATACTGCCACAACGTAGGCGGCCACGTAGCGGCCGTATCGGTCGGCGCTGTGCCGATGCTGCCCAGGGTGGAATTCAGGCTGGAATTCAGACTGGAATTCAGGTTCAGCGAGGGCGCGAGCGCCCCGGAGGGAATGGTGAGGTGGGCCGCACGATCCTCCCCTCCAGGCCCTCCGCAGTGCACCAGGGTGGTGCCGCCTACCGCCATGGCCGTGCTGGAACCTACAAAACGGAACCGGCGTTCATCTCCGCGAGTTCCGCGCTCGCACGATCGAGGGAGGCTCTCCTCGCCGGCGAGCCGCTTCGCCTCCCTCGAACGCGCACCGCTGAGAGAGCGCGCGAGGTCGACGCGAGGTATCGATTCCGACTGCGTAAAATCGGACGAGGCGCCGACCGAGTATCGGGTGGCCCCCGCGCACCTGCCGCGATCGCGACGTCTTCCTCGGGACCCGTGCCGCTGCACACCGCACTGAGAGAGAAATCAGTGGCGTTTGTAATCGCGTAAGTATGAGAATCGTGTGTGCATTCAGGGGAGGATATAGTTATTTTCGGGGATAAGATAATGCGCTTCCTTGCGTTTTAACGGGAAACATTGTCGAGATGACTATTTTTCCAGTAAGTGTTGTTATAATGTTAGCGATCAATAATCTTACGTGCATGTTGGTACTGTCATTTTTCTGGTTTAAATGAAAAGGGGATATTGTTGAGGCTGAAAGTATAATTTCTCTATGATTAACTATAATTGTTTTCAGTACAGACGCAGTAAGCCTTTTAGCCTTTTGCTACGAGCACAAAATTCAAACGTAATTTCTAGCAAATAGCGTTTCCAGCACTAGACATCGCAATTCGTAAGATCTATGCGGTTGTTGCGACTTCTGTCGGCGCTTTTGTCAGAAGTTACGTTACATTTGATTTCTTAAGGCAAAAGGCAGGAAGCTTACCACACCTATTGTGAATTCAGACTAATGAGAATGTCTTCTAAATTAATTCACGCAACTTACGCCTAACGTTCGATTTTCATGAGACTGATTTGAAATTAAATTCGGTTTAAAAGATTTATAGTCGGTTGAATCATTTTTCCCAGAAAATATTACCGTACGCGCAACGTCGGTAATAATTTCCTTACGCGGAAAAAACAGTTTGTTTGAATTAATCTGACAATGAACAGGCCAAATGCATTTTGGCTGAAGGAAACAGAGTTTCTGATTCTTACGAGTTAAGTTCGGTTCTTAAAGCCATAAATTCTGTTTCCTTTAACCAAAACGCGTTTGATTTGTCCATTGTCGGGTAAATTCAATGAAACTGTTATTTCCGTGTATTGCTATTACTATCTTTTGGAATTAAAACCAGAAGAAAATACAATTGAAGCTGAAAATGATTATAATTTTAGCGAGCTTTCTCTCAGTATAGAGTTGCATTCTCTGATAAATGGCAAAATAAACGGAAATCAGTCGGAGGTATTTAATCTCCCTCCCCCCCTCACCCTACAAAATATAAATAGTCGACAGCTCCGTAATTGGAACGAATCTTTCCCGATTCAGTAGCAATATCATTGAAACTAATGCTTGAATTATTAATATATTCGCCACTCACGCCACACATGTGTGACACATTATGCGAAATACTCAATTTACCTATTCGGTAAATGTTACATGGGCACAAGTACGGACACGCACTATATATTACAGTGCAGCCACTGAAAATATAGCGTGGGCTATGGTGCAGTTTATTAATTCAATGATGTATTGTTTCAATGATGCGTGTATACGATGTATTAGTTTCGATAATATTGCTATTGGATCGACTAGATTTACTCCCATTGTGGCGCCGTTGAACAATTCCATCGGTACAACAGCATTTTTTCCCCCACGTACAGTCACATCGCGTATCCTAGGTGACGTAAAGTGAAAAGCAGAATTTTCTAGATGCCGTTATCCACATTGGAAAATGAATTTGGCCGGATCTACCTGACAATGGACAACCACGTGCGTTTTGCTCGAAGGAAACCAAATTTATGGGATATAAAGTTTCCTTCACGGAAACAAGCTTCATTTTATTTTATTCCCGTGAAACAAACCTTATATCCCACAGGTAAATGTTTCGGTACTTTCTTTTTTTTTCTCAGCGCGAGTAGATCCACCTGACGATGAACCTACCTGACGATGCAGAACCAAGTGCGTCTCGGTTGAAGAGAACGAAATTTCTAACTGTCATTAACCAAACTTGCTTTTTACAATCTTGGTTATTATAACTATGCAAACCTTCGATTTCCACCAATTTCCCCGCCATAAAATTGATTTTTATCACGGTAATTTCCCCCAACGCTTTGATTATCCATTGTCAAGTGGATCCAATCGCTCGTCGAGCGGACGGGTGGATACAGACACTCGAGAACCGAGAAGACATAATTAAGCCAGGCTTAATTAGCCAGTTGAAGATTCCGATTAGACCGTACTCGGAATTCACTTGAATCACCCCCCCCCCTCCCCCCCCGGCATTCTCTTCCGTCAATTGCATCATTTTCGCGGAAGTATCGCCGTGAAAATAATAGCCCCGAGCTGGCCGTAGGTAATGGCGGCGATATCCTTTCGCAATAAATTACGCTCGAGGCGTGAGAGACGCCGCCGCGATGGGCGAATCGCAGGCGTTCCCCGATGTCGATGCCGAAGACGATAAGCGTCGCGGTGAAGTTCGGAAAAAAGGTTCCGCGCGATCGATTTTAAAGCGCCGTTCATGCACGTCGGCGAATTTTCGTGGCGCGCCGGCAACCCCGAGCGGCTCTCTTTAATATTCGCCCCCGGGATCGCGCCGGCGATCGTCGTATGCGCGACGATCGCAATTAAACGCCGCGCGCGCAATTAGGAGGCGGGAGGGGGGCCGAACGAGATATTCTCGCAGAAATTTCCCGCGGTCGGGAAATCGTTGTTGCTGTTGTTGCCCGCAGACGGCGTAACAGCCTCAACATCAGCGCATAGTTTTCAATCCGAGCGTAAAACGTTATCGGCACTTTTCGATCGCACTCGTGTCTGCATATTCGTTGCGACTAGTGATTATTCGACGAGGCGGCGAGGATATATCAAGCATAGTTGCTTCTTCTTTTTCTTCTTCTATGCGTAATTTTATGTCTTACGTAACGAATACCGGGTGGTGGTGATGGTGGTGATGGTCTGAGTAACAGTTGAGATATCGTCGCAGTTTCGTCGGGCAATTAAGTCGCGATGCACGAATATGCCGACACGATGGCAGCGATTGAGAAAATCCTATTTACTCATTGTGCTATTAGGTCTCAAGGCTGTCATTAATGTCGACCTGTCATTTGGTCTGTTCCTTTCAGCTGAACCGGCTGCACTGGTTCAAGAAATTTACACACACTGAAGCTCGTGAGAATCTCGTGCATATGTGATACTTCATACGCTGTACGATGTGTAAGTAAATTTCTCGAACTAGCGCAGCCAGTTCAGTTAAAAAAGACAGACCGATCGACCATTCGCAGTCAGTGGCGGAAAGATCGCGACGATTTCACCGGCGAACTTCAAAATGCAACCGGTATTCGCACTGCGACAAATCTCGCAAGTCAAATTTAACGCAAGGCGAACACGTTGAAAAGTAACACAACTATTATGTGGGAAATTAATGCGAAATTAATATCCATTATATAATCAACACTAAAGTGTAAAATATGTTATTTCCACACACACGTTGAATATCGATCTAACAGAAAATATTGAGATAACGATACGACATGTTGAATTAACACACGAGCACGTTAAAAATTTGACACGAACGATTTTAACAAGAATCGATTTTAGCATAAGTGCAAGATACTTCTTTTATTGCGCGGTAGGAAAAATTTATCTTCTGAGAATTACCGAAACAAGCGAATTCTCCCATCAGATAGAGACGTGTTGTGAAACTCGTTGAAAAAAATATAACAACCTTTCCGTCACTGACCATACAAAGGGTATTAGAAAAAAAAAGGAAGAAATTCGACCATCGTTATCATCGATCGGGGTTGCAGATCTACGTGGATGCGTCTCTTTCGTGGTGAAAAACAAACATGCAAATCGGATACGATAGAGCTTTATCCGAGAGAGAAAAAGCGACAGAGGCGATAAAATCTGCGTCGAACGAAAGCGTGGCGTCTGCGAGGCGCCGCGCGCGACCAGTTAAGGGATAAACTGGGACAGAAATGATAAAAGTGAGCGCGCGCCCGCCAAAGCTTAGCGCCAATGTCGCGTCGTGTGTGAAACTCTTTTAAATACTCGATCTTATCCTACGAGGAAACGACGATTTTACGAGGAGGGGAGGAGGAGGGAGGGAAACGCACGCGGATATTTCGCACGGAAAGATCGCGTATCACGACGTAGGCGGTGCGACGCGATCGATACGTTTCCAACAAGATTAAGAGAAAATGAATACTTTGCAGACCGAAGACGTGAATCGACAGTTCGGTTCTTCGGTTTCTGAAGCGTCCACGGCCGGAAACGTCGATTCGCGTCTTTAAGCCTGTTCCACAATGCCGTATGCCGCTGTCGGGACGCAGCCGATGGTCCAACGAGGAGACTCGTCCTCAAAAAGTAAATTCTCTCATTGGACCATTGGCTGTCTTCCGACATCCGGCGACTCCGACATGCGGCGTATTGTAGAACAGACCTTAGACAACGCGGTAAATTCTGCGTACTTCGTGCCTTTCCATACGGGATAATATTTTAACGAAGATATTATTGGATATTATTAATGTATCGTATTAATAAATGAATATCGTATTAAGAGTATTACTGATGCACCCGTTAATTGCACGTTTCAATTTCGAATAAAATATTATAACTATATGCGCGGCCCGCAAAGCGTGTTAACCGTGCCGCCGCAAAGAACGGAGGAGGACGCGCCGCGTCGTACCTCCTCTCTTCAAATTGCACAGTGAAATCACTTGTAGTCAAGGAAAACGTTTTCCAGTAACTACTGCACGGGAAAAAAAACTGAAAAAAAAAAATGAGACTATAATTCTCTCACTATGCTTATAGTTACAAATACCAAATATTTTTCTTTCACCAAACATATTTCTCTCACTGAGAGAAATTATAGTTACTTTCAACCTCGACTATATCCTTTTTTGATGTTTTAACAACGACAATAGTAGTGACGATGTGCATGTAAGGTTATTATCGGTGATGCTATAATAACACTTACTAGAAAAAAAGTTTTCCTAACAATAATTCTTTTACTATGGTGTTAGTATTTATTATGTGTACAGTTACGGTATTATAATTACAGCTACTAAATATTTTTCTCTCAGTGCAGCGTACATATACTTCTACTATTCGGGATACGTAACAGCGATCTGCAGTGAAATTCATCATTGGCCAAAGTCAAAATGAATATGAGATATAACACAAAAGAGCTAAGTAGAGGTGTTCCCGCTAAAAATTCGTAAAAATAAATACACTGAGAAAAAGATTTCTGCAAAATTAATCAATTTCACTGCATCCAAACAAATTTCATCACTGACATTAATAAGTACGATTGCTAAACTTTTCAACGAGTATATATTTTTATTGTAAATAAAAAATTTACTTGAAAGATAATTTTTTTATCAAGAAATTATTTGTTCTATTTTACATATTTATTGCAACCAAATAATATTTTATTTGATTAAAAGGCATTATTTCAAATAGCGTTCTTTCCGTTAAATAATAGAGTTTTCTTGAATGGGACAATAAAATTTCTACTCAAAGAAGTAATATTTCATATATGTTGTTTGTATGAAGCAAATTTTAGCCAGATAAATAAAAACACTAAATCTAAAGTAATCTTTTTCTCTGTGCACTGATTATCGATACGATACTGTTTTATTGATTATTCAATCGATGACATTTCCACTGACCCGACTTAAAACACTAGGCGTCGAAAATAACAATAATCCCGACGAGATTAACCATTCTTTCCGCTCAGCGTACGGACGTCGCGCATTCGCGTCACGACTCGCGCGGTCGCGCGAATTCTTGCGATTTCGTGCAATTTCATGGTGCGCACTCACGCACGCACGCACGCAACGAACGGACGCCCGGTTAAAATCTCATTTCACGTTACGCCGCGAAGTGTCGATACGCGGTTCCGACGTTAGCTCGCTCGATTCCGTATCGGATCCAGGAACGGAACGGGAAGGGGGGGGAGTTTCGTAATACCGTACGAGAGAGGTGAAATCTGGCGTGAAAAGACTCACCGAGGCTGTCCGGCTGGAAATGATGATAGCTCGCGTGATGCGACGTGTGATGACTTAAAGACACATTGCGCATAGACGTCGAAGTCTCCTGATGCTGCAATCGCTGCCTCGCCACCGCGATGCCGACCGGTATGCCACCGGCTCCCGCGTTCGAGACCACTATTCCTGAAACGATTAAGGAAGTCGGGCGTGAGCGCGATGAGAATGCACGGGATTACAATGGGCTCTCGCGAGCACGGGCGTAATCGCCGCACCTGAAATTATATCGCGAGGGACACGTGAGAGACGTCGAAAGGTGGGCGGGATTTGCCGCGAAAAGCGCCCTTTCGCGCGGACCTGCGCTGGGAAATGAGTTTAGTTGGATTTATCTTCGCTGGGAAAAAATAGTATTTGAAAATGTATTTGTGGGATATAAGGTTTATTTCACGGAAATAAAATCAAGTAAACCTTAACTCCCGTGAAATAAACGTTACAATCTCTCACAGGTAAATTTTCAAATATTTTTTTCCTCAATGTGACGTCTAGACGCGTCGCGGTTGAAGGAATTTCCGGCTGTAAGAACCGAACTTGGTTCATGAGAACTGGATATTTTGTTTCCGCCAACCAAAACGCACTTGGCTGTCCATTGTCATCCGTGGGAAAAGTATTTGAAAATATATTTGCGAGAGATACAAAGTTTATTTCACAAAAACAAACCCGCACGGGAAATTGTTTGATATCCGATCGGAGTCTATTCCGATTTTTCACAGAAATGATGGATTCTGATTGGAAAATTTATGAAGATTCGCATTAGGAGTGTAATGTTTCGAAAGTACGATTCTAAAGTGGGAAACCCAGACATTTTTCCCCTCACATTTTTCTAAAGTTTTCTTATAATTAGAACAAGAATGGAATTCCTAATTGATATCGCAATAACTTACTCTTATTCGGGACGAGTTTGGGTGATCCGATCAGAATATAAGCTGCACTTGGGAATGTTCGGTAAATTTCCACACGCGAGCCTTATTTTTACGAAATAAACTTTATGCCTCACAAACAAATTTTTAAGTACTTTTATTTTTTTTCAACGCAGTTAGATCTGAGCAGACTCATTTTTCAACGTACGTGCGCAGAACCACACGGGAAAAATACAGTCGCGTATCGGGAGGATCGGTCAACAACGCCGTAATTGGGATAAATCTTCTCGATTTAATAGGAATATCATTGAAATTAATGTTGGAATTGTCGAAACAATGTACGGTGTGTATCGGTTTCAATAATATTGTTGTTGATTCCACAGGATTTGTTCCAATTACGGCGCTGTTGACCGATTCTCTCTTAATACAATGGTATTTTTCCCCCATGCGGGAACACCACGGGGGCGATCGCGATCGATCTATCGTCGCTCGAACCCTCCGCACTTTTCCCTTCGGGAAACCTGACACGCCTTCGGCACGGCTTGACCCTTGCCGGAGAGTCTTCGTTGCCAGGGACACGCGAGACTCGCCGGTTGTCGTGAAATATGCACGGACGGAGATCACTTGGGCGGTATCTGCGGTATCGCTACCTGAAGCACCTGAAACTGCGCCGACCTCGGGCGGGATCCTAAGTCCCGGGGAAGCTTCCTCGGGTGTTTCCTCGCCGAAGGAGGCACCACCGCGCGACTCACGCGTGCCTCCGACTCGGCGGTCGCGACTCCAACACGCATTCGTTTAAATCACCGTCTCCCGACTCGTCCCCCGCGTTCCCTCTCATCACTGTCTCTCTCTCTCCGACGAGTCCTCCCGCGGAACTCCGCGCGCGACGACACTTATTTTTCCCCTCTCCTTCCCCCGTATTACCGAAACGCGTGTCCCGATGCGCCCCGAAACGCATTCATTTAAATCACCGTCTCGCCCCCTCCTTCTGCCCCCGTGTTCCTTCCTTCTTTCTTTCTCCTCGTCAGCGCGAGACTCTTTTCCCCGCGCCTCGAGCGCGCGTTACGCTCGCATGACGTAACACGTGTGGGCCAACGCGCACAGCACCGGGCCACGAGAGAGAACCCGTGGTGCCAGCGGCGCGCGGATGTGTCAGGACCGGGGGGGGGGGGGGGGGNGAGAGAGAGAGTGAGAGGGTCGAGACTCTTTCGAACCACGCCTTGTGTTTGCGTCGCCATGCGTGCCACGCACCTCCTACTTTAACGAGACTGTCTGCTCCGCTCTTTCTCTTTCGCCTTGCCCTGCCTGCGCGTCTCCCGTCCCGCTTCTTTGCTCTTTTCCTCTGGCCGTCTCGCTCGAGACCGACCGGTCGACTCTCGTTCTTTTTCTCTCTCTCTATCTCTTTCTCTCTTTCTTTCTCCCTTTCGCTCTGGTCCCTGGTTTCTCCTCCGACTCTGTCAGTTCGCCCGTCTCTCTTACGCCCATATACATCGCGGTTTTATACGCACTTTTCTTCCCTACCCCTCGTGCTTCTCTCCTCCCCTCTTCCCCCGGCCGCCCTTTCGCTGCGCGCCTATCGAAAAAAGCGTCGCGCCGCCTTCGTATTAGGCGATTCCTCGTGTGGTTGGTCTGAGGAGAGACGCGATTATGCTGATTGGGACGGTATTGCGTTTATCGCCGGCCGAGATCTACGCTCTCCTCGCCATCTTCGCGAGAAGCACCGGCGACCGTCCGGCCGCGCGTCAGGGGACGTAATTATCTCGATTTTGAAGATATCGTTTATATCGCGAGCGGGATCTTTCTCTCGTCGGGCGCGTTATTGGACCGCTCGCGATTCCTCGCTCGTGATTGCTCGGGAAAAGCGCGCAATCGCGCCGATACCGTCGATACTTTTTATCCCCGGCGAGATCTCGGCTCGTGTACGCTCGAGAAACGCTCGTTATAAATAACTCTTGCTCCTCGCTCTCTGGAGGATCCAGCGAGGTATCTCGCTCGCGAGATCCCGCGTGCGACACCTTGTCGCGCGTTACGTAAGGGGGAAGTTCGCAGAATTTTTACCGCGCATCTGCCCGCTCCTAAGAGTTAACCGGCCGCGTTGGATTCACGCGCGACTCGCGTCGTCGTGCTGGGTTAATGGGAAGCCCCTTCGTCGTGTCGTCCGAGCGGTCGCGTGGAACATGCGAAAGTATGCGGCGAATTCGGTAAACGGGATACATCTCGATAACTCACGCGAGCGCTCCCTTGTATCAATTAATTCGAACGCGCGGCGGACGTTGACCGCGTCGTCGCCGTCGTGGCGTAAGAGAAGCGCGCGGAAGAAAGAAGACGCCGTTGTATCATCGGTCGCCGGCGCCTCGATTCGAACGTATCTCCTCGATCTAGCGTTATCGTCGGGATCGACGAACTCGAATTGTTCAAACAATGTATAACCCTGGTAGAAATTTCATGAATTTTTTTACATATTTCATGCATTTTCTTACGGTTATTACCGCACAGTTGATTAATTTCCGTCTGGTAACTGAACAAAACTACACAGTGGAAAGGTTTGCGTGAAATTTAACACACGTTTCACGTCTCCCAGACGGTCTATTTTGAAATTTCTGTGTTAATTTTACAGGGTGAATATTATGTTCAAAATTAATACACGATCGATATGTTAGTCGATATTGAAGTGTAATGTCTTATTTTAATACTTACATGTATTGAATATCGGTACAATACAAAATGTTGAGATAACATATATTGCAATATGTTAAATTAACACACGGGTATGTTAGAAATTTAACACGAAATTTTAACAAGAATCGACTTCAACACAAGTACAAAATGTCTTTTGCTGTGTATTTGGGATCCCAATCAAGATTCAACGCTTTTCCTGCAATTACTGCGCACAAAAATGTACAAAATCTGAATCAATTTACTGAACAAAAACGGAACAATAAATTGACGAGAAAAAACTATTCGATTGATTAAAAAGCAAGCCTGCTGCTCATGAAATGAGCAGTTTTGCTCTAGAAGAAAATTCCCACGAACAGAATTCTACCAAGTTCCTGTCCATTTTCTACGTAGTATGTTTCATAGGTTGTAACAATGAGACATTCATTAATATTAGACAATATAACTGAATGGGTATCTAAGAAAACATGCATTTCTACCGGGGTAATGTATTAGTATTAAAAAAGACGGTTAAGAGTTCTTTGATGTTCAACTAAAATAAAGAGAGAAAACAGAAGACCAATGAGAGCCAACTCGAGTAGAAATTCAACTAGTCTGTCCGAGTCAAAGGCGTAGCTAATTAGTACAGACTGGATTAAATTTCTTAGCTCGTTACTGGTTGATTATTTACCAAAATGTAGAATCGGTAGAGTTAACTGTATTACAGCCATTACATATCAAATATGATAGAGTAGATTGCCGTATACTCTAAAACATATGATGTAGTTAGTATATACTCGCCACTAGCAATTAAAAATGAGATGGCAAATAAAAATTGGAGGATGCGTTATTCCATAAAAATCTTAAAAAGCTAAAAATCTAAAAAAGCAAAAGCATGCGTTACGTCACTGCCTGGAAAACTAATTTTCATCTCGTAACTGTAATTTCGCCTCATTGTCTAAAAAAACGTCTTTTCGGCGTCTTAGAACGTCCGAATCTGGGAACTTATTTATATATCTAACCAATATCTAATTAGAAGAAATCAACGTTACGTTACTGGCTGATAACGACGTTAGATACAAATTCCTTATTTCGTGACTAGACATCCACGAGATTCAATTTCTACTAAAAAATACTAAGAAATAGATGTTAGTGCAAGAGCGATATTTAATTTAGCAATAATATTAATAAATAATTTCTTAATGATATAAAGTCAAATAAGTAAACACGTAAATGACCAAATGCAAATTTCAGTCCTCAGATCGGGTTCTTTTCTGCTGGTGAAATTTCAGTAATCATTTCGAACGAAGGAAGATATTGAAGACTCCGATGGTAAGCAACCAGTAAGAACGATATTTCCATTCTTACTGGTCGATTGAAATAAAATTATTGCATGCTAACAGTTTTAATAATGTTGCTATATCGAATCAAAGAGATCCGCTCCAATGATGACGGCCGTCGGGCATAATATTAAACTGATACTATCACACTATTTACGCGTCATTTCTTTTTCTTCCGTGCGTTCCGATTGGTGCGCAAGTAATCGGCGTCTCGCTCGTTCGACGACCGGGCAGTCGACTTACCGTTCTCGGACTTGGGTGGAACGGGCTCGATCTTGACGGAGGTCGTGGTGGCGTGGAGGGACGTGGAAACCTCCGCGACTTGACAGGGAACCGAGGCTAAGGGTTCCCTCTTCACCAGGCTAGCACCGCTATTGTTAGCACCAGTGCCGTCCTGCCCGTTCCAGGACGACGCGACAGGTAGCGTCCTGCTGCACCCCACGTCCGAGTGCACTACCTTCGTCTTCCCTACAAACAGGCGTTTCCCACTTGTGCGACATGTGTATCGTTATAACCGGTGCGCGCCACGTAATCCGGGATCTTTCGAGTCGGGAGAAACCACGACAGAGTGTGCGAGAGAGTGCGAGGAGCTTTCGGAAAATTCGGGAGGACTTCGTTTCTCGGATTTTCAAAGTCTCAAGCTCGACAGAGAAGCTTTGCTCATCCCCTCCCCCCCCCC